TGTTGTAGGAACACCAGAATACAGTTGCGATATTTTCTGCTAACTGGGCCATCTCATCAGCGAACCACTGCATACATTCTGCACCACGGAATGGCTTGTAAAAGGATAATGAGTCATCATAGGAGCACTTTAGGTAATATCCTACAGCAGCTGGAATATGGAGCTAAGTTTTTTTAGGATCCTCCTTTGTTGGGGTCAAAACGCTCTCCAAATCTGCATAAACTATGAAAGGTGCTCTTTCCTTGTTTTTGGAATTTTTGAATTTTTATATATTTTTTCCAATTTCTGGCATCTTAATAGCAGTTTCATTTATCTTTGCACAATCTTCCAGGTGTTTGCTAAACTTATCTTGCGATCTGAAATAGTGCAGACAGCGATCGCAGATGTGTTTTTTCCCATCATGCTTACTCAATTGTGAGGATACTAATTTTGATAAATTTTTAATCCACACATAATGATACTTCACAGGTAAAGAGTCTTCACCCTGCTCTTCATCATATTTATTCTGGATGAGTAGGAGGTTGAAATGTTTTTCCTGTTTGTGTCTTGTTAAGATTGCTGGTAAGGCTTTAAAGTTTTTCTCAGATTTTTCCAGTTTGTAAACATTTATAGATAAACCAATATGTTTCTCAAAACTAGGAATTTGTTTCAACGTCATCGGGAATTGAATGCCTTTCAACTTCAACACTTCTCTAAAATCTGGGTATTTGCTTAATCTTTGAGGATTTTTTTCGGCTGGAAAGAGAGCTGAAATAACAGCCCATGCGAAGCAAGCCTGATCATTGTTTTTCACGTTTATACAAGCTTCTTTACACTTTATTGATGGAGGTAGCTCGATGTATGAAGATCCTAGTTGAGGCGTCAATTTGTTAATGTTGATGCCTAAATTTACTATCTTATCAACTCGTTCATAATGGGTTCAGTAACCTTTTCCTTAAACCATTGCTCAAGATTTGTATCTCGGTAGATGGCCGTGTTAGACGTTGTGAAGTACTTAAATTATTTTAGTACTTTATCACCTTTGACGATCTCGAATTCCCCACAGAATGCTGCATTAACTTTGATGGCTTCATCCTTTTTAAGAGCATTCTGGACCCTGCGTTTAAATGAAGCTGCACAATCTACCAAAAACAGCTTGAGATCTTTATGCTTCAAATTTGTAATGATCCCTGTTCTAATTCTGCTGCTAAAAGCGGAAGCTGAATCATCCCAATGAACACGTTTACATGCTCCTTCAGGACGTGATGGTGTAATTCCCACAACCTTTTTTTGCTGGGACTTAAACTGATTCCTGAGACTGCGTATATGACGGAGTGATGCCTCAATCTTCTGTTTCTCCCCTATGGTCTTTGCATCGAGCACACTCTAGAAGTCCATTACCAGCGATTTGATTGGCGTTTTCAGGCGTAATTAGTCCAAGAAGGGTTGCTAGATGATGGAATAGGGCAACAAACTGGAACATCTTGTTGTTAATCAAAGAATAGGCTTTAGGATTGGAGTTTAAACTAAAGGTGAGAACTGGTGAAATATATCTTCATGAAACTAACAATGAATATTGTTTTCTCAAGCTGGTAAATCAGTATAGGAGAACTAGCTTTGCGCGTCTTCACTCTTTGAGGAACTGCAAACTAATGAATGAGGACGGAGGACTAAACAGTTTTATAACAGTGCCCCCCCTCCCCCCCGACTATCAGATTTTTGTATACAGTTACAAACATTCCAGTTAATAAGCTTTGTAACGCTGATCCAGATCTAAACTCGTTCAGCTCTTAGATTTTTTGACAGAAATTTGCATACTCTTTATTCAGATCTAGCCTATTGTTAAATGTTATCCTCTCTGCTGTTTTGTGTTTAGGACTTTCTATACTAAAATATTCACATTCGAATACATTATTATGGATATTTATGGTAAACGAACGAATTAAATTGGATCACTGGCAAGTGGATTGATCGAAAAAACTGATTACGGCCCTGTTGCCGTATGCTAAATAGCTGGAACTAGTCTTCATTGATGCTACTAATTATTTAGAAGTTTTTGGTGAAAGAGCAAATTAAATCGAAAAAACTGATTACAGTCCTTTTGGCGTATGCTAAATGGTTGGAACTAGTCTTCAAAGACGCACACTAATTATCTAGAAATGTTTGGTAGAAAAATTAATGAAATCGAGTCAATCGAAGCTGAATTAATCGAGAAAAATTGATAACGGCCCTTAATTAATTGAAAAAATGGAATAAGGCCCTTTTGGCACATACTGAACGGGTAGAACTAGTCTTCAAATAGGTCAATAATTATTTAGAAATTTTTAGGAAAAGAATTAATTGAATCAAGTCGATAAATCGTTAATTAATTGAGAAAATAGAATACGGCCTCTTGCTTATGCTAAACGGGTGGAACCGGTCTTCAAATACGCGACTAATTATTTAAAAATTTTTCGTGAAAGAACGAAGTGAATCGGATCGCTAGAATAAGAAATAATTGAAAAAATAGAATAAGGCCCTAACGACATGTGCGCAGATGGTCAAAATCCGGTTTTCAGACATTCCCTTGATAGTTAGGGTTGCGCACACCCCGGAAAAAGGAGCGTCGCTGTCCATGCCTGAAAAGAGTTATGGTATAGTTAGGTATTTTTGAAATTTTTGGTATCACCCCTTTTTGGCCCTAAGGGTTGTTAGTTGAGTAATAGATAATGTCCAACTTGACTGAAAGTATTATGGGGCCGAGCTGGAATATTTTTAAATATATTATTATACATATATGTAGTTAGTCGGCAGTGAAATATCCATGCATGTTTGTCGGCGATAAAATGTAAATGCAAGTCCGAACTTGTTGTTTTTGTGAACGTGAACGGAAACGCTTATCAGTTATAAGTAAAAATAACCGTGAAATATGATACCCCTGTTTTGTTTATTACTTTCCCACATTAAACGTCGGCGGCGTGCTGATTCATGAATTTATCTTATTTACCACGACCTCATCCTATATTAGAACACAACAAACTTTACTTTATGTACGCAAGATGGCGCCACCGATAACAGAATGACGTAACCCACGTGTCCCAGGCCGCTATAAGGTCATCACAGAACCTGAACCGTAAATCGAACTTTGCACTATGTACGCTAGATGGCGCCACCGGCACACACTGACGTAACCCACGTGACCCAGGTCACTATGACGTCATCAGAACCTGAACTATAATTAAATATACGTAGCGACATCTTAACGACATAAAACAATCTCTTCCACGCACACTTCATATCACAGAAACCTGTAATTTTGAACCCATTTTTGAGGAATATTTGCACAACTTCATGTTACTCTCGACAGATGGCGCCATGACGTTTGACTGATGATGTTTAACAAGATGGCGGCAGCGCATCCACCTCGTGTCAAGGACGGCGCATCCACCTTCGTGTCAAGAATGCAAGATTGAGGTTATGGACGGATTTTTGAAGTCATACATACCCCTGTTGCTGTACTACTTAGGACTGCGGTTTTTACGAGAGATGTCAGATTTTTTTTCTTGATTTAAGTAGCTTAAGTTGTTTTTTAGGGTCACACCCCCTTTAAAAATGTTTCTAGATAAGGAATTATTTATTATGGTTGATAATACTGTTACTGTTACCTTCTTTTTCTCAAAAACGTCCCTAAAAAATTGTTGACGGTTGTCACAACCGACTTTTTTGGTTTTCAATTGCAAACCGCCGATGTCACAGGCATCGCTTGGTCCGTCTAAATTCGAACTTGCTTCGCGAGTTGGTTCGAATTTTGGTTTGAATTTCGGTTTTCTTTTATAACCTTAAAACATGGCGTCTTTCTTGACAGACCAAATTCAAAAGCTTTCAACCAACTTCTGTCTTATTCGAATCAACCAGAGACCAGAGGCCGAACCGGTTGAGCTTTAGGTTGTATATTAATGGATAAGACATCTGCGTTGTTTTGCATTTCACCAGAACTACAGTTTTATTGCTACTCCGGGCATCTTGTTACCTGCCTTGATCCCCTTGAAGCTGTTTTCTGTATTGAATTCATTTACATTTAGGCGATGCGTGGTTTGTTCTTATGAGAATTCTTATCCATATTGGTACTTGTGGAAATAGTCCACTACTCTGAGTACTCTGACTTATTGCTTATTCCTTTCTTGTAACGCAGTAATTTCTATTGGGCTTGGTAATGGTAAGCACTTTACCGTAGTATTCGCTAAGCTAAGCGAATTTCGCTTTTTTCTCATTTTTGTATTTGCAACAGAACAACTCCGATACCAGTGTTGCTTACGCCTCTGCTCAAAATAAATTTTTCATGGACGGGATTATTGGACTGAAACTGGAGCTGTCTTCAGTCCAGCAAAAAAATCCTAGAAGCTCTCTATTCAGTAAGTTTTTGCAACGGCGCTGCTAGCTTGGCAAACCCTTTTAAAAATCATCTGTGGTACAAATAAAGCCCCAGGAAACTTTAGAGTTCCTGCTTGACCCGAGGTCGGGCAATTCACGATTTACCTGTGTTTTTCATTATTCAGTATGAATCATTTCCAGTGAAACTACAAACTACGCGGCCAAGAAAATCAAAGCGCTACTAGAAGAATGAACATTTCTTCATTTAATTAGAGGTTTGCCCTACGGATACGATTGAACACTTGTAAAATGACACAAAATCTGATAGATCCGTCTTTTTGGTAACTATTACAATTGACGATGACCATGGACCTGAAGACTCTCCAACCACTTCAACCACTCCCTCTGCAAGCATACTGTACTAGTGTTTGAACAAGCTTATCGCGGCTAGATAACACAATAAGCAAGTGAAATTTTCGGATAATTGCGTCTCTCGAAAACGGAAACAACCTTGGGTCCTAGACTAAACGAACTCGCTGGTGCCTCCGAACGGAACTAAATTTGTAAGACTATCGTGTTTCTAGCTTCGAAAAGGTTAGACCAGAAAAAAAAAACATAGCTTCTATTTTGCTATAGGTTTCGAACGAATCATAGAAAGAGAAATGGCATACCCGTCTGGCGATTAATCCCAAAACTCCACTAAATGCACCATTATCAACCTCAGAGCCCTGAATTCTTTCAGTAGGATCAGAATAGTTATATCTAAAGTTCAACTTCTTGGAGAGCAAAAATAAAATTCTATCGTCCCTTCCACCGGTTACTTCAAACGATTTATTATCGCTGGAGTTATAATGCACGAAATGCCAAGGAGGTTTCTAGAAAAAAAAAAATGTTTTATATGTAAAACCACAAAAGGGTTTCTTACGTGTAAAACTGGCACTTGTAAGATTTTTCCATGGAAATCTTTGTAAACAGATTTCTTTTGAGGTATAGTAGGATGGTTGAATAATCCTTTATCTTGAGTCCACCAGTTGATCATATCCAGGTGGTGTTCTTTGTATGAAGTTGCTTGGCTATAGTATAATCTAAAACTGCGCTGCTATGTTAAACCTTGATTTAGACTAATGAAAAATTATTTTATTATGGCATTCGAAAAATGGCGAGGGATAAAGGAACGAGTATGACGATGGAAAATCTTCCCTATTTCAGTAGCAAATTTCATCGTTATGTTAGATTATACTTGACATATTCCTTTGCAATTTCATGGTGCTATGTTGCCGGATGAAACATTTATCAAAATAAAATTTCAAACGATGTTAACATATACTTTAAAGCTCTTCTTTTGTTTGATTTGGGGCGTTGTAAAACACTTGACTCTATATATCACTTCTTTAATGTTATAATAATGCTCGATTTGTATTGTCTACATTTGTTCTGTAACAATACAATCTGGCTACACTGCAACCCACTAGTTGCGCGCGCATGTCATCGTTTATTACTTTCTAACTTGTATTTATTAAAATAAAGCCCTCTTTTTCTATTTATGCGAGACAGGTCAATTGGACATATAACAAACGAATAAGTTTGTTCAGATTTCTACTAGAATATAGGTAACTAAGGGCCGAATTTTTAGTTGGTTCTTAAGGATTCCTCAGACCTTGAGGAAGCCTTGAACGTTTAAGTTACATGACTAACTTGTCAATTAGTAGCAAGTGTCCATTTTAAACTCGCGACTCCAAGGCAGATTCAAGGAACGACTATAAATTCAGCCCTTAATCTAAAGCAACACAAGTGATAATCTGCCACAACTTTGGTACAGGCACTTTTAGAATACCTTAGGTACAAAATATTTCCTTTGAGCATCTACATCTCCAAAAAGTGTATTATTGAAATTTCTGAAAAAAAAAAAGCGATTTTTGATTTAAAATACCAAATTCTACTTAACCGCACACTATGTAACTTTACCGCATAGTGTGCGCTAAAGTACACTTTGCGCACGCTCGTAGCTAAACTAATTTTAACAATTAAAAACAGGGGTTTCAACTGTTTCTGATCCTAGTTACCAAAAATTATTCCCGAGAATTTCATACATCTGTCAAAACTGCCATTCCAACAATAAACTGGCATGTTTTGATTGTTGATTTGAACCAATCAAATTGGAAATACCCGATACTATGCACTAGTGCAAATTATCACGATAATTGCATAGTAGGTAAAGTCTGTTTTTTTTTTAAGATTAAGGTCAAAAAGGCCTTATGTTGGCAATACAATGTAAAATTGTCAATCCTTTCAAATTTTTTATGTAGAAAAAGCTTGTGTTGCCAACATAGTTACTACATTTTTGACTTGGGGAATTATCATTAAAAAAAAACACACCTTAAATGGTGTTTCGACATTTTTTGACAGTAGTGTTCAAAGCCCGATTCGGATTCACCCCCCACTCCTCTGACGTCACATGACCTTGACGCCACCCCCCACTCCTCTGACGTCACATGACCTTGACACCACCCCCCACTCCTCTGACGTCACATGACCTTGACACCACCCCCCACTCCTCTGACGTCACATGACCTTGACACCACCCCCCACTCCTCTGACGTCACATGACCTTGACACCACCCCCCACTCCTCTGACGTCACATGACCTTGACACCACCCCCCACTTCTCTGACGTCACATGACCTTGACACCACCCCCCACTCCTCTGACGTCACATGACCTTGACACCTCCCCCCACTTCTCTGACGTCACATGACCTTGACACCACCCCCTATTCTCTGACGTCACATGACCTTGACCTTGACCTTGAAATGTGACCTTGAGCGCCTCCCACTTATTCCCTGGTACCAAAAAAAGTTCCCAGGCTCAAGTGAAATTTCAGATTAAAGGCGCTAACAATCTGGAAATTTTCCCACGGTACCAAAAAAGTTCCCACGCTCAAGTGAAATTTCAGATCAAAGGCGCCGTCGATCAAGAGATTTTCCCGCGGTATTGAAAAAGTTCCCAGGCTCAAGTGCCCCCGCAGACGTGTGCATCCTTGAGTCGACCTTGACGCCCTTGACCTTGAGTTGCTCAAGGTCAGTTGTGCGACCCATAAGTTGGTATGTGAACTTGAGTCGACGATAACCTTGGTTAATACATATAATTATGGGTTGGGAGGTGTTTGATCTTTAGTACGAGAATTTTTGCGGAAAGATTTCTTCCAATCGCCCCGGAACAATAACAATGGTTTACGTTTGTGAAAATTGTGGTGTATCATTCAGTCGTAATTACAGTATGATGCGGCATATGAGGGAATCCTGCAAAGCCCGATTTAGGGTTGGTGATGTTGGTGGAAAGCAACCCAGGTTAGATGGAGCTGCATCAACAGCATCTATGAAGACATGTGCCGCATGCAATGTATCAATACCCTCAAATTTGATGATGGCTCATCAGAGGACGACACAACATAGAAATAATTCCTGCATACCTTTATGTGATGGTGTACAACGTGTGGACAGCGCTTTCAGAAGCAGGATTGCAACATACCGCATAAGCAGCGATACCGAACACATTGACTTTACAGTATTTTTCAATGATGTTATGCTGAAAGTGCTGAATGTGTTGGAGCAGATGTTGGGATTTCATGGTGCATTAAAAGTGAATATGGTTGTGATTGGACAATACTATCACCCGACACAAGATGTGAACACAGAAAAATCATTTAATACTTGCAATAAAATTGTTGCTGTTGGAAGCGATCTAAATGAACTTTACCAATCATTTGTTGAAGCAATGAAAACACAATCAACAGAGTTTCAGGAGAGAGATTCGGGTATGTTATAATGAGTGAGTAGATTTAAGCAAATTATTAACTGAAATCTTTCACTTACAGGATGGGCTTTAAGGAAAATTCTTTATTTGGAGGTTAACATCAATCAGTTCAGACCTATCGGTGGCTCATCCTACATCAAATTACCCAAAAGCATTGAAATGAGAGGCGCCACCGTTAATGTGATAAACCAGGACCAGTGTTGTTTTGCTTGGGCTGTCACATCAGCATTGTTTCCCGCTGCTAGAATGATGTCACAGATTACGTCTTACCCACACTATTCGAGAGTTTTAAATCTAGCAGGTATGGATTTTCCAGTAAAGTTGTGTGACATAAAAAAGTTTGAGGAAATGAATGATATATCAGTCAATGTGTATGGATTGCAATCATTATTCGAAAATAATAAATTAAAATACGAAATTGTTGGTCCATTAAGGTATTCGGGTAGAAAACTGCGACAACATGTCAATTTGCTGTTGGTAACTGAAGATTGTCACATCAGAAGTGATGGTGATGAACGACATAGTTGTGATATCAACTGTTCCAAAAGTCATTATTGTTGGATAAAAGACTTGTCACGCTTGGTATCCAGTCAGATATCAAATCAAGAAAATAAATTATACTTTTGTGACGGTTGTCTCATTCATTTCGACTCACCATCAAAGTTGATAATGCATCAACAAAATGATTGTAATCATGTATACACATTGACACCAACAAGCGATTCAAAGACTGATAAATTTGGAAGCCTTGTATCGGAGAACATAATGAAATATGAAAATATTGAAAAACAAATGCGTGTTCCATTTGTGGTTTATGCGGACTTTGAATCGATTTTAAAACCAATGGATACTAGCGAACCAAACCCTCATAGCTCTTACACATTGAAAAGCGTCAAACATGAACCGTATTCTTTCGCATATCTTATAAAATGCTCCTTTGATGATTCAGTTTCTAAGTTTGAGCTATATCGCGGAAATGACGCAGCCCAAATTTTTGTTTCTCGGTTGGAAAGCGATTTGAGACATCTTTATAACACCTATTGTAAAGATATTAAACCAATGAATCGTCTAACACCTGACGAAGAGTTGGATTTTAGAAATGCAATAACTTGTGGTATTTGTGAGAAACCATTTGAAGAGAATGATATTAAAGTAAGAGATCACTGTCATATAACGGGGAAGAAAAGATTTGGTGCTGCTCATTCTATTTGTAATTTAAACTATAAACTACCTAATTTTATCCCCATTATATTTCACAATTTGAGCGGGTATGACTGTCATTTGTTTATTAAAGAATTGTGTCACCATGGTGATAAAATTAATGTTATAGCTCAGAGCAAGGAAAAGTATATATCGTTCACAAAGAGTATTTACGTACACGACTACATGGATAAAAAAACTGGTTCATTGAAAAGAAAAAATTTAAAGTTACGGTTTATCGATAGCTTTAAATTTTTATCGGCATCTTTGGAAAATTTGGGTAACGGATTGGAAATTGATAGTTTCAGGGAAACACGTAGGCATTTTTCCAATAATGAGGAATTCAGTTTAGTTCGTCAAAAGGGTGTTTTCCCCTATAGTTTCTTTGATTCGCTGGAAAAAATGAATTACCCAACTCTTCCAACAAAAGACCAGTTTTTTGATACTCTACGTGATGAGGATATTAGCGATGAATCTTACGAAAGAGCAAAGAAGGTTTGGCGTTTGTTTCAGTGTAAGAACTTGGGTGAATATTCAGACGTGTATCTAAAGTCGGACGTAACACTATTGAGTGATGTTTTCGAACAATTTCGCGATACATGTCTGAATGTTTACAAACTAGATCCCGCACAATATTATACACTTCCAAGTTTATCATTTGATTGTATGTTACGTATGACTAAAGTAGAGTTGGAGCTATTGACTGATATTGATATGGTTCACTTTTTCAAAAAGGGTATTCGCGGAGGTATAAGTCAGTGTACTGAAAGGAAGCATGTAGCAAATAACAAATACTTACCAGATTATGATCCCACGAAACCATCATCATTTATCACATATCTTGATGCAACAAATTTATATGGGCACAGTATGTCGCAAGCATTACCATTCGGCGGTTTTAAATGGTTATCTCATCAAGAAATAAATGATTTGAATATTATGGATGTTGATGATGATGATCTAGAAGGCTATGTTTTAGAAGTTGATGTGTGTTATCCGGAAGGTTTGCATGATGCTCATGCTGAC